ATCATGAACAAAAAACAAAATAAAAAAAACACGTTTTAAACTTAGACGAACTTTGATTCGATACTAGCTGAGGATGTGACTTTGAACGATGATCTAAGCCTTATTACTGCTGTACTTTGTCAATCTGAGATGTTGATTTCTTCTTCTTTTTGGGTTTTTTTTTGGGACTTAATGGATAAGGATTAGTTTTCCAGAAGTGGAAGTCGAAGAGACTACATTTACACAGGACCGTCAGATATTTAAAACTCGGGGCCCAAAAAAAAAAAAATCATTTTAAACCCCCTTCACACCATCTGTGGCTTCTTGATGTTTACACATTCAAATTTAAAGGAACATAAATAATTATTTGTAGCCTGGCATCGTCCCCACACGATGGTTCAGCTCAACTGAGAGTAAACAGACGTTCAGATGTTTGGATCGGAAACTGTTGCTCCTGTTGCTGTTCGAACAGGGTCGAGTTCTGATTAATTGTTGCTAATTGTAATAAATTGCGCTAAACACAATGGATCGATGAATTAAAGATGACAAAACTTTTTTTTTTTATCTGTATATCCTGATATCCTGGTAGAGGTCAGTGTTTCTCACCTGTCTTTCTCTGTGACTAATCCAATGATGGGATTATTAATCTGGACACATGTCCATAAAAACATCTCCAGTGAAAATGTCTCTTCATACAGTTTACAGCTCATCAGCAACTCAACTTGTTGCTTTCACGAAGGATTTTTTTTTCTCGCAAGCTTGCAATGACACATTACAGCCACTGGGGTTTACTCTCTCCCTCTGCCTTTCTCTCTCTTTCTCTCTCTCTCTCTCTCTCTCTCTCTCTCTCTCTCTCTCTAGGCTACATAAAGCAGTGTTATTGATGCTGTAAATACACATTTAAAGTTAATGATTTCAGAATCTTTTTTTTTTATTTTGCACTGAGAATGAATGAAAGTGCTTTTTATGATTTCACATCTGACCTATGTACAAAACTACGCTGTTCACCTGGAATTCCAGATTGAATGTTGACGTCAGTCAGATGTTGCTCATCTGTATTTGTCTACGCAGATTTTGGAAAACAGGCGTTTGAACAACTGCCAAAAAAGACAAAAAAAAAACAAAACACACAGACTGGTTGATTGTATGATGCGTTTGTGTTCCTCCAGAAATGATAACGCTTTGTCTATTATTTAATGTAAATGTTAACAGGAGAGAAAGAAAGAAAAAAGAAAAAAAAAGACACGCCTGAGTGGGTCGTTCTGTTGATGCATCTTTTTCTAATTGCACTTAAATGTGAAGATGACGATGAAGTGATGAAGGTGTGTGTGCTCCACCGTGCGGTTGTAACTTCCCAGATGATTTAACTTCTTTATAAACTTTTCTCTCAAACTCACACACACACCTACACACACACACCTGTTAACAAAGCTAAATAAAGTTGTTACTATTTTTCTGACCGTGTGGTGACGTTCTGTTCTAGAACACCAAGTTCTCCCACGATTTTTTTTTCTTCCCTCTGCAGCAGCAGCAGCTCACGCAGGTGCTGATCAGCTGATCCAGGAACAGCTCAGATTCAGTACAAATATAAGTACAAATATATTAGATATTATTCATATACATAATGAAATATAATTTAACAAAAAATAATCCTGAAATGTTGAAATTTTTATTTTCAAAATTCTTTAAGCGGGCCGGATTGAACACCCTAATGGGCCAGTTTTGGCCCGCGGGCCATATGTTTGACAGCCCCGTTCTACAGGCACTAACGACATTCATACCTGTGCTAAAGTTTTACGCAACATATTTGTTGAATTGTTCACAAAAACATGAACCAGTAGAAGGAGCGACCATTAGCAAAAAAAAAACCCAAACGTCTGGGTCGTGGACCATGATATGGTCTCTGATAGTCGGCCATGTTCCTTATTTTGTTGGTTGTTGTTGTTGTTTTTTTTGTTTTGTTTTGTTTTTTTGTTTTGTTTTTGAGGAGACATTTTTAAATACTTTCATCTTTTCAAGTAGTGAAAGAATGAATAAATTAAAAAACGGGTGCCAAAAAGTTTGGGAACCACAGCTTGAACCACTCACAAATCTAAGGTCAAAGCATCAAAATAAAATGAACCATGTGAACCATTTTTAGTCAAATGAACCTTTCTGTGTGGAATAACTTCACTCCTCCTCACTCCTCCTCACCCCCTGCCTCACCCCTCCTCACCCCCTGCCTCACCCCTGACTCTTGAGTTCAGCCCCTTCCTCGCAGGAGGCTCAGGTTTATCTGGTGGCGGAGACTCATCCACTCAGGAGGAGCTGACGGAGCCGTAAGGTGGAGGAACGAGGCTACGCTGCCGACGCTGCTGGGGGGGAGTGAGAGACAGAGAGAGAGAGAGAGAGAGAAGAGCAGGAATCGGATATTTTAACTTTTTTTCCCCCAACTTCAACTCTGAGGACGAGCGAGGCAGAGAGGAGCCATGGCGGCGTTCTCTGCTCTTTGGATGCTCCTGCTGTTCCAACTGTTGGCGTCATCACTGTCTCAGGTAAGAAGACTGAAGATTTAATTAATTTAATAAACTCAAATAATAATTAAACTCTCACTGCACGGTGTCGTCAACTTAGCACAAACGGACGTTAATTAAAGATGGAGTTAAAAAAAGTGACCGTTAAAGGAAAAGTGACCGTTAATTGAATAGACGTTTCCGCCACGAGCCAGAAACGAAGATAAATACGATAGAGAAATTACAACAATATACCAGAAATTTGAGGAATAAACAACCGTTAACTGCAGTAATGTTACACCAGATGTAGCAGCAACAACAAACGACTATTTTATTAGTGAAGTACTTGAAGTTTACTATTTGTAAAAACCGTTAAAATGTACCGTAGCATGAATGATGCTAATGTTGCTAAAGGAAACGATCGCGCCGATAATTTTGTATTAAATTAGAGATAGAGAGACCGTGATATCACCACAGAATATTATACTGTTATATCATATTAAATATAATATCTCCGTCCTGTTACGATATAACATTTTTTACTTCATTTAAGTTACTTTTATTTACGAAAACCTACAGGAGTTTGTAAATGGAAGGCAGTGACGTGGTGTTGTACCAGGGGAAGTCAAAGGGTTTTTATTAAAAACTGTTTATTATTTATATAAATAATTATAATATACATTACAAATTTTCCGTTTGCTCTAATTTGAAAAATTAACTGGTCTGAAAAAAAAAACCGGTCTGAACCGGTTTGAGTCATTAACGCCTGACAACCTCCGAATATAGACATAAAAATATCTTAGAACTTTTTGACTTCAGACTCGTCTTCATTTAACTATATCTATACTGTGGTTTGTCAGTGAGGCCCAGCTCCTAGTAGTACTACAGTATACTACAGTATACTACACAGTACTACAGTATACTTCCACATTGATGATAATGGATGTATTTATTTATAAATCTTTAGGTGCAAAATCATTTTCTTCAACCAACAAGTTCTAGTCAAACTGAGATTAAATCAGTTCTCTCTCCCTCTCTCCCCCCCCCCCCCACACACACACATGCATATTCTTCTGGATCCTGCCCTGACCTTAGTGTCTGACCTTTGTGCCCTTTACTCTTTAACCTGACCTCTGGCTCTACTCACCTGTACGATAAAAATTTAATTTTTTTCTGTGTGTGACCGTGGGCCACGTCCACTCAGTGTCACCGCAGTCTGATTGCCTGCAGGTGGCAGAGTCTTTTTCGCACACACCGATGAAGTCGGCCTTGTTTTCCCTCAACCTGTGGAATGTGGACAGGAGATCTGTGGGCCGCTGCAACAATGGCATCTCTGTTCACTCAGGCTGCAGCCGGGGCTGGAGCTGATTTTATTAAAATCTCCACCTTCACTCAAAATACTGGGAATGAGAAAATCACAATTTGGTCTCAATCTTTGCAACTAAATTGCAGCCGTCATACAACAGACTTTTTTATATTTTTAAACGTTACTAACATGTGAAAATGAAAACCATTCATGTACGAAGACCTGATTCTGGTGAACTGTGTTTGACAGAGACCAGGTCCCAGAGGAGCTCCAGGACCTCCAGGACCAGGAGGACCACCAGGACGGGATGGCACTGATGTAAGTGGACCTGCTCACTGGGGTTCGGTCTCTTTGACCTCGTCACGTTGTTTTTTGTTGACAACCAGTTCCGTCGCTCACTGACTCTACAGTAAAGACCAAGATTCAGATTTTATTTTCGCTAATATCGTCAACAGGCTCTTTCTCTGTGCGTCGCCGTGACTCCTACAGCCACGCCCACTACGTTTATATCACATACCTCACCGTCAGGTGGGCGGGATTCGAACCGTTTTACAGTATTACTGAAAATATGGTTAATAAAATAAAAATAAAAGTGTTGATTTTTAGACTTTTATTTAATGATTTCAGATTATAGATTCCTGTTAAAAACACTGACAAACAATTATAAGATTGGGCCTAAAACCTTTGATCTTCTGCTCAGTATCTTTTTTAGTTTTTACTTCATTTAAAACAAGTTAATTAAAAATGAAAAATAACGCTGAGATATAACATTATTTACAGTATAGAAATCTTTTTTTTCTCGACGCAAAAAAAATCTACAGGTGAATGTGACATTGTCTCAGTGTGTGTTGGTGTTCCTGCCACTTTAATGTACACACACACACACACACACACACACTGGGCTCATTGATACATTCCCCAACTCCGTGAGACCATCTAGAGTTTCACCTCACACCTCCTTCCTCCTCCTGACTCACCCACTCGTCCCTTTTACCCCCCTCTCTCTCCCTCTGCCCTGTCCAAGGTAAACTCAATCGGTACCGGGTCACTTCACTGATGTTTGTTCTTCTCCTCCAGTTACACTGACCGTGTGTGTACTGAAGTACTGACGTAAATATTTTAGTGATGTGGTACTTTGTTTTCAGTCCTCTACAGTTAAACGGTCATTATTATAATCTGAAATTATAATCTGGATTATAATCTGGATTATTCCACATGTACACGATCGTAGACCTGTCATTAATTTTCCATTATTCACAGGGCAAACCTGGACCAGCCGGACTCCCAGGGAAATCAGTGAGTATTATAATCATGACATCATTAACACTCTGTAGTTCTTCCATAAATAAAAACTAGGGGACAGACACCCCCCCCTCCTCCCCCCACTGGGTGACAGCCTCTCCACTGGGGGTCATTACCAATGGACCGGGGGTTCAGAACCTGCTCAGTGTGGACCAGAACTCATAACTAACTTCTTCAACTCTGTAAATTCAAATAGTGGCCTAGATCCAACTCCACTGTGGCCCAGTCTGTGGTCACATTAACATTAAAATGGTCCTAAAGTTTGGAGAGACTTTAAATTTACACCGACCATAAAGAACAAAAGCTACGAATATTCCCCCAAAGAAAAACAAGATCTTAATAATAATAATCAGTCATTTAGCAGCGTTCGGTTGTCATGACTTTAGACAGTGCCCTCTTGTGGTTATAGGTGAAGTACAAGCTGACATTAATCTGATTCACTGGTGTTAAACAGATAAAACATGAAAGATTCAAACGTTGTTTCGCTGTTTTCACAGGGTCCCAAAGGAAAGTCAGGAATTCCAGGAGTAGCGGGAAAACCAGGTCTGCCAGGACTTCCAGGGGTCGACGTAAGTGACAATTTAATAATTCTTGTGATGACCTAAAGCAGGGGTCTCAACCCCAGGGTACAGGGCCCATATCTTGGATTCATTAACATAAAACACTGATTTCTTCCTGTGAAATGATGGTGGCGCTCAACCACCATCACCAAGAGACCCCTGACCCTTGACCTCTGACCTAAAGTGCCGTTGCCTCAGCTTCACTGTAGTGAATATGAACAGAACAAAGCAGTAAATCCAGTGTCATTGTCCCCAGGGTTTGACTGGTGTCGATGGTCCTGCTGGTAAAGATGGAGCTCCTGGAGAAGCGGTAAGTTTTTCCTTCAGGTTCTGTCGTCTTTCCGTGTTACAGAGAAGGAAAAGAATCTTTTAGTTGAAAACTAGCTTCAATGCTAATGAGATGTTTAACTGGGGCCGAGGCCGGGTTTCAGTGTCAGCCGGGATTTGTCAGCATCTGCAGGAAATGTTTTTAATGAGAACTCAATCGGATTAGTTTCCGACACTTCACTAATCTGACTCGGAATGCAGCGGTTCCCCACCGATCTGTGAGTCGAGGATTTGTGGAGAAACTGATGAGTTCCTCAGAGAGATGTTTTAGTCACACATTAGAGAAACTGAATCAAACGACAAACATGGAACTGTCTCAAAGTCAGGACTAGTCTGGACCAATCAGGGAGTTTGACTCTGGTTCAGATGTTCAACCACAACAATCTCTTCTTCAACATCATTATAAACTCACAAGTTTTTTTCAGTCTTCTGTTCTTTGTCAGGAGTTGGTTTTCTGTTTGTGATGTTTGTGAACTGAGGGACGGAGTAAAAAACAAACAAACCTCACACCACGGTGTTCACTTAACACCACACAGACACATTTACACAAAGACACAACAAAGGGCTGGAGGAGTCACATGGTAGAGGTCACATGGTAGAGGTCACATGGTCACAGAGAGGGAGGATTATGTAGTAATATATATTTTATTTTCTTGCACAAACGTTGGTTTTGACTGAGGCAGTTCTGTAAAAACCCTGGTTAAAGAACCAGACCTTTGTCAAAGACCTGGTTTTATTCACTGACTGATGAGTGTGTGTGTGTGCGTCCACACAGAGACCCTGACTCCAGAGGTTTGATCACACAGCTCCAGATACAGATTTTCTCAGAAGATTCTAATAATCTTGAGTGTCTAATGACAAATATAACCTTTTGTTTCTGTTTAATTCCCTGATGTTTTGTATTTTCTCGCTGACCTCAGGGTGAACCTGGACCTTCTGGACCACCAGGACCTCCTGTAAGTCGATACTCAGATTATAAAGTATAATCTGGATTAGAGTTGGACGTCTACGGTGTGTGTGTCTGACTTCCTTTGTCTCCTTGTGTCTTCCGCAGGGCAGGGGGCGCCCTGGAGCTGCAGTGAGTCCACAGCTGTTCACCACAGACTGACGTAGACTGACGTAGACTGATGTAGAAACACCTGCACAAACGCACCGTGTTTTTGTTTTTTTAGGGATTACCAGGGACCAACGGTTTACCAGGAGGACTGGGTCCTCAGGGTCCGGTGGTGAGTTCTACAACGACTGTTCATCCATCGGTTCTAGTCCCAGGGTCTTAACAAACGAACAGAATGATCTAAATACTTCACTGTAAACCGACCCTTGGTGTGAATGTTAGTGTGAATGGATTGGCTGCCGTAGCGTTTCCTCCTCACGTCTTGAGTTAAAGCCACACTTTCAGCTCCTCAGTCTCATTTCTTTCTTCTGTTATTAGGGAGCTGAGGGTCTTCCAGGTCTTCCAGGACCTGCTGGCCCTGACGGACCCCCGGTAAGTTTGACCTCCAGTTTTACACTTGACTAAAGGTCCAGTCTGGTTATTATTATTATTATGACAGTCAACAGCTGCTCTCATTTCTCCTCCGTTGGTTTCTCCTCTCTCAGGGTCTTCCTGGAACTCTTCATGATCTCAACGGTGACCTTCTGGTAAGATCTGAGTCTCATCACCGAAAAACAAAAAATAAAAAACCAAAGCAACAAACAGTGAGTGAATAAGAGTATGTTTTTGAACTGATGCAGTGTCCTGCAATCTGCCCACCCGGTCCATCTGGTCCACCTGGGATGCCAGGATTTAAGGTAACTTATCGTTATCATTGTTAGTAACAACGTTATTACTGTGTTTCTTCACTAAAGTTCTGTTTTTGTTTCTGTTCATAAAGGGTCACACAGGTCACAAAGGAAACAAAGGAGAACCAGGAAAAGATGGAGAAAAGGTCAGATTTAAAGTAGACTGTGAAGAAAAAAAAATTTAAAAATTAAATGTTTGGTTGTTTGTAAAAACCTGGGGTTGGTTTCTTGAAGCTGGCTTCACGAAACTCAGAGTTAAAGTCACAGTTCTGGTTTCTAGAAGCACTGAAACACTAACAAAAACTCTCAGGGAGTGCTAAGATATCTAGTCGTGGTCACAGGATGGCATCAATTTCTTCTAAGCAACTGAGCTGCGATGTCCACAGTCTCCTCAACAAACGGCCACGTCCTCCATATGATTACAGACTGACTCCTTAACTCAGAGTTAAGGACCTTAAACCTGCTACGGAGCAGGTTTGACCCACGGAGTCAGAGTTCCCTGTAATACAGAGTTAGCTAACTCTGAGTTAGCTAACTCTGAGTTAGCTAACTCTGAGTTAGCACTAAGACCGCTTCAAGAAACGGACACCAGGTGATGCTGTTCTGTTCTGTTTTCATGTAAATGAATGTGTGCTCTGTTTCCAGGGTGACGCTGGTCCACCTGGTCCTCCAGGTATTCCTGGTACTGTGGGTCTGCAGGTGAGTGACAGTGAGATAACTACTGATCAATAATCAGGTAGTGGGGAAAAAACAGATCAATAAAACGTGACCACTTTATTCACGTGGAGTCCTGACTGTTGGTCGGGGACTTGAGTCATTTGAGTTAAAGCCAGAGGACAGGGTTCGTTGTGTACTGAGTCACAGTGACAATAATTCACTATCTGTATAGATAGAACTAAAAAGTCTATCTGTTGATCCAGAATGCTAATTGGATGTTGAATAGTGCAGCAGTGCCACCTAGTGGATGTAATGTTTCACAGGCATGTCAACGTGACTGGTACAGGTGGACGTCACCTGGGAGGAGTTAAAAAAGGTCACGACCTCAGGACTTTGACTGCAGCCACAACTCACACTGAACTTCACATTTACGTTTCCCCGACCTCTCGTTAGGATTCTCTTGTTGTGCTGATCAAATGCTAACACCTATGAATCAGTTTAGAAATTGTGCAAAAAAATATGTAGTCGATCCACTTGTGAATGTGGATCAAACAGGTTTGAATCTGAACAGGAAGTGACACATGATGATCAGTACTAGTCTCCCACCACCACAGTGTAGCACCATCTCTGGCAAAGAGTAGTACTTGACTTTTGCCTCGAGTATCGGTGCCTGGCGTCAGTGGCCTTTAATGAGTCTTTTACATTAGTTAAATGATGAACATCAGTCTGAGTTTCAGCTGAATGTTTGTTGAAAAAGTTTTAGACCATTTGGCCGAGTACTATTAGAGCTTCATCCAGTACTGCAGTACTTGTAGTAAAAACAGTCTAACACCAACAGTCAAATGTCTGACACACAATGAGGAAAAACTCTGGAGAGAATGCTAAAAAAAAAACCCACAGAGAACCACACAGACAAACAGAGGGGAGAGAGTGGGAGGGTTTATATAGAGAGAGGAGGAGGAGGTCACAGGTGGAGGTGATCAGCTGATCGCAGGAGGTCACAGGTGGAGGTGATCAGCTGATCACAGGTGGAGCTGCTGAGGCTGACGACCTGAGAGAAACACAAGAGAAAAACAGAAACATTTTCCATCAAGTTTCCATCCTGCAGATAAAAAAAATACATTGATATAAATTAAAACACACGTTTTAGACCCAGTTCTACAGAGGTTTAATCTCTGAGCAGTACACAGTAAACAGTACACAGTAAACAGTACACAGTAAACAGTACACAGTACACAGTACACAGATGAAGTCATGTATAAATAGTACTGGGCAACAATAAAAATGTTTCCTTACAATTAGTCACGTTAGTTTCTGTTTTGCACTGTTTAAAAGTCAATAATACTTTTAAATGCAGTACTTTTTTTACTTTCTTTAAACCCTAAACAGTAGTAGTAGTAGTAGTAGATATATTTTCTTTCTTGTAAATCTAAATAAACCTAAATATTAAAGTGTCATCAAATATCAGAATCAAAGTTTTTTTTTTTTTGTTTACCACTGCCAGAGCATTGGGGTAGTTTAGTAGTTTAGTAGTTTAGTAGTTTAGTAGTTTGTTAGAGTCCAGAGCCACAGTCATAACAGACAGGTTAACACGAGTGTACTGCGAGTTTGTTAGAGTCCAGAGCCACAGTCAGACAGGTTAACACGTGTGTACTGCATAGTTGAAGTAGTCCACTGGATAAAAAAATAAACACAGTGATTTCTACAAACAAATCTGGTTCAATTTGTTGTTCCTGTTCCCACCAGTAGTTGGTAGTATTTTACCAGTTAGAACAACATGGGCCAAATTACAAGAAACTGGTTCTGATAAAAACACTGCACTGGATTTGGACTACGAGGTTGGACACGGGTGGAGGTGGGGTCAGTAAGATCTTTTAGATAATCCTATAATATCATGTTGAACTTGTTGTGTTTCAGGGCCCACGTGGACTGCGAGGTTTGCAGGGACCCATGGGGGGAGTAGGGGACAGAGTGAGTGTCCCTGACGTCCTCTGATCTATCAAATACAGACATTGACAAACAGAACGCCTTCACCAGACTTTACGTTCTCTCTCCGTCTTCACCCGTAGGGTCTGCCTGGTTTCAGGGGAAAACCCGGAGTCGCTGGGATCATTGGGAAGACAGTGAGTCTCTGTGTGATTCTGGAGCTCTGTTTAAATAAAGACGGTCCTGGACAGAACTCCAGAGCCACGGTAAACGTCTGCTCCATCAGTGAATAGCCCTGTGTGTTGATCTGATGTCTGCAGGGCGACGCTGGTGAAAAAGGACCTCAGGGATTTAGAGGACCCAAAGGAGAAGTGGTGAGTGCCGCGTTCTGACTTGTGACCCTCAGTTTTGGAGTCGATCCCATTCATGAATCTCTGCGTCCTTCACCAGGGTAAAATTGGACCAAAAGGAACACCAGGAGGAGCAGGACCTAAAGGCGAACCTGTGAGTTCATCTCCTGCATCAGTTCTAATCTTTGTAAAACAGGCAGTGGTTCTCAATCTATGGTAACAGTACCATACAGCTGGACACACTCTCTTCACACACCGGTCGTAACCTGAACAGTGTCCGTCTGTACGTCAACGTGGGTCAGACTGGTGGTACATGGTGTGGAAACTTCCAGAACCACTGCTGTGAGTTATGGTGTGTGATGTGTGTGTGTGTGTGTGTGTGTGTCCTCCAGGGTATTCCAGGCAGAGATGGTAAAGACGGTACACCAGGACTAGACGGAGAAAAGGTGGGTGTCCCCCCGGTGTCCCCTGATCTACGACCAAACGTCTCTGTGAACAAAGTGTGATTTGACCTGTGGTCTGTGTGGACAGGGTGATGCTGGACGTCATGGTGTGGTTGGAGAAAAAGGACCAAACGGACTTCCTGTGAGTGTGTGTAGTGTCCAGAACCTGGACCTGGACCTGGTGTCTCCAGGTCTGTGTCTCACTGTGACTCAATGATAACTAACGTTCAAACCCACTGTCACGTGTCGTCCTCCAGGGTCTACAAGGAAAGGCTGGAGTGAAGGGATCTAAAGGAGAAGTGGTCAGTATTTCAACCAAGAAGAAGAGTTCATTAAAACTCGACCTTTGACCCTGGACGACCAATAATATTTGTCCCTATTTTCCAGGGTGATCCTGGGAAGTCTGGAGAGACGGGACCCTCTGGAGAGCCAGGTATTCCTGTATGTATCTACAGGGCTGTTGGAGGGGAATATTACTGTATGACATGACACACAAAACACTTCACCAACGATGTCTCTGACCTCTGACCTGTCCTGACCTTCTCGTTATTATCTCCCCCCTCCACACCTACAGGGTGACATCGGTGTCCCAGGAGAGAGGGGGGTCGCTGGGCCCAGAGGAGTGGCTGTAAGTACCTGTGTACTGGTACTCCTTACAGTATGTACTAAACTGTAGTACAGGTCAGACAAGACGAAGAGCAGCTGTGTTTAATTAAATATTGTTATTGTTATTGTACAAACAACAAGGGCAGTTGGCTACACTCTACTGCCCCCCAGGGGGGGGGTTTGGTGCTAGTTGAACACACCACCTGAGACGGTGGTGAAAAGTCAAAGTCACATGACAACAAAGGACGGTTGTTAGAGCTGTGTGTGTTTTCAACAGGGAGGAATCGGACCAGCAGGAAATCCTGGACCTCAGGGAGTCAAGGGATTTCAGGTCAGTTTGTTTAACATCACTCATTACTAATTGTTCTTTTTAAAAATCTATTTATTGCCCCTGTGTGGGTAACTGTGATTTTGTGTGTGCCACATATTCTACAGGGGGTAAAAGGAGCCTTGGGGGATCCAGGTCTCCCAGGTCCAACAGGAGTCCGTGGAGAGTTTGGTGAAAGGGTGAGTTTGACGTATGTGACAGTAATAACAGTACTACACACAGTACTACACACAGTACTACACACAGTACTACACACTGTGATAAAGACATTCAGTTTATTGTTACTTTATAATGACCTCGTTATTAGTCATAAAATAAAACCATAAATTAACCCTGGTCTGTTTTAAATTATCATTATATATTAATTTAACCAGACTTTGAAACTAATAACTTTGTTAATTTTTCATTAATCTCAGTCAATCTAACAGCTACAAGGCCTAGATCTACAAAGACTTAGATCACCTAGAACCTTTAGAATCTGTAGTCGTTCTATCAGTTCTTCACCCACTCTCTCTCCCCCGTCTCCCTCTGTCTCCCCCCTGGTCCTCCACCTCAGTCTGAGGTAAATACTGTATATGACCAGAGGATGGGGGAGAGCGTGGGGAGAGCGGCGTCACAAAGCAGCCTCCTGTTCATGAGCTGAAAACAGAACAAAGCCTGACCTTATGTCCAGACCTGGTCGACCCCCCCTTACACCCCCTTCTCTCCCCTCTCAGTCTCCCCCAGTTTTTTGAATAACGTGTCTTCATGCCTCTCATTTCCTCTGCAGGGTCCAGTGGGGGCATCAGGAGCTAAAGGAGACATGGTAAATATTCATTTTATTATTTTATTGATCAACTCTCCTCTGTCATTCTGTCTGACTGGACGCTGATTAGAAAATAAATCAGATTTAGTTACTCAACTTATTTTATTGATCAACTCTCCTCTGTCGTTCTGTCTGACTGGACGCTGATTAAAAAATAAATCAGATTTAGTTACTCAGTACTTTTACTCTTACTCAAGTAATTATTTGGATGACTACTTTTTACTTCTACTTGAGTAATATTATTCTGAAGTAACAGTACTTTGACTTGAGTACAATTCTTTTCTACCCACCTCTGACAGTAAAGTTACTGTGAACAAGTTACTGCGTCGACAACAAACACAATTTCTGCCTAAAATAAAAGATGTATTTTTAGGGAGTCGCAGGAAGTGATGGTCTACCAGGAGAGAATGGAGAACCTGTGAGTACAGTCTCACACACACACACACACGGAAATGGTCCGACCAAATAACTAAAATAATTCAATGAAGATTAACTGTTATAAACCTCGTTAATTAACAGATTATGACGTCAGATTTTATATTGATCAACATGATTTGTTTTTCAGGGACCTTTTGGACCAGTGGGACAGAAAGGAGGGGTGAGTGACAGACACTCCACTCATTACAGACCATCATATTATTAATAATAATAATTATAGCAGTGGTTCTGGGCCCTGACTTTGGACCATTATAATGACTGTTGTTTTGATTCTGGTTACAGGCAGGAAAACCAGGGGAACTGGGTCCGAAGGGTGTGACTGGTCCACAGGGGGAACTTGGTGCCAGAGGAGCTCCAGGAAAACCAGGACTAATGGGTCTCCAGGGAGAACAGGGAATGCCTGGAATTGCAGGAAAGACCGGCGTACCTGTGAGTTCAACCACCGACGAGTTTAATCTTTACAAAATAAAAGCACGTTCACTGTGACTTTCCTGAGGTTTTCATTTGAACTCTGTCTTCAGGGTAAACTGACCAGTGAGCAGCACATCAGGGAGCTGTGTGGGTCGATGATCGACGGTCAGACCATTACCGTAACATTCTGTCTCCTCTGAGTCAAAGGTTCAGATAAGAACTCACTTCCTGCTGCTGTTCTGACCCACAGATCAGATCGCACAGTTGGCCGCTAACCTGCGGAGACCTCTGGCTCCTGGACTGGTCGGTCGTCCAGGTCCTGCTGGGTCTCCAGGACAGCCAGGAGTCGCTGGTTCTATTGGACATCCGGGAGCCCGCGGACCACCGGGGTACAGAGGTCTGCCAGGAGAACTGGGAGACCCTGGTCCCAGAGGTAAGAATCGTCACAACAAGAACACAATACTGACCCCTGGCTGCTGTCAGTACAGAGGCTGTGACCAAAGATTCTTTTGACATAAAAGATTCTCTTTCTCTTCACCAGGTGACGTTGGTGAGGCCGGGGACAAGGGACCTATTGGAAAAGCCATAGATGGACCTACTGGAGATCAAGGATCCCAAGGTACAGACAGTAACAGAGTAGAGACTGTAGCTTAGTCTGTTTGGTATTTTATTTTGAAGGATCTTCACTTCTGTTCACTCCTATAACAACAAAGGAGTAATCACTTCTGTTCACTCCTATAACAACAACAACAGACATCAAAGGAGTAAAGTACTGACATAGTAGTTATACTGAGTCTCGTTTCCATGTTTACGGTAACCTAAACTGGACTTAATCGCCTCCTGCAGGTCTTCCAGGAGTACCTGGAATTGTCAAAGACGGTCGTGATGGTTCTCCAGGAGATCCAGGTGAGTCTGGAGAATCAGGCAGGGTGGGCAGGACCGGACACCAAGGACCTCCAGGAATCTGTGACACGTCGGCCTGTCAGGGAGCAGCACCTGTTGGAAAGTCCTCCAACCCCAAGAACTATTAAACTTGACCCCCGCCTCCCGCTCCCCCCCCCCACCTGACGGCACCCCGGCAGGGAGGAGGGTCAGTGAGGAGGGAGGAAGTGATGAAAGAAGAGGAAAAAACAAACAAACACAGAAGTCTGCTCCTCTTTTATTCCAACACGACACAGAACCTGGTGAGGAGTGGAGTTACAGAGAACAGAGACAAAGAAGACGTGAATGAGTGTGAAAACGTCTCCGTTCACACCGGCTGTAAAATCAACGACTTCCTTTTGTATAAAAACTTTGTACATGTTGTTTTCATGTCCCCGTCGTTTTGTTCACCTCCTTTTGGCAGATTGTCGGAGCGACTGACTCTGAAGTGAATGTCCATGTTATCATGACGCCCCCCAGTGTTAATCACATGTGTTACCTCAACGTAAGGCTGGCAGTGTAAAATATGAAAATACAGGAGAAGAGTGGAGGAGCTGGTGTTAAACTAAACCAGTTAATAACCAGTTAACAACCAGTTAACCAGGTTTCATCATCGACTTTTTAAATGTCTTTTGTTTCAACAGTAAAAACACGTGGACGACTGAATCAGATGTAAAATAAAGGATAAATCTTTAAAGTTTTTTTTATTAATCAATGACCACATCCACTTTGTAATAATAATACTGGTGCTGTAACTATTAAAATGACTTTAAATACTATTTATTATTTGTGGGCAACTGTTGTACGTGCAGTCGGATGCTGCAGCGACATGTCGTGAGAAATAAAAGCCACTTTTCAGTAAAACATCACTCTTCTTTACAACTGCGACCAATGTCCTCACAACACCTTAGAACAAGTACAGAGTGGAACTGAGGTGAACACTGATGATTTAAAAAACTTCATTAAGTTTTATAATAAATATAATTAATCAAATATATCACTTAACTGCTGATATAGATAATAAATAACCTTCTCTGAAGCAGAACAGCGCCACCTGTTGTTTTTGGTTTTTTTTTAAACCAAACACCAGAAAATGTGAATCAAATGACACAGTGGTAAATTAGTACTAACCCTGACATGGGCCAGGACTTGGTCCAGACCACGGACCACCCTGACTCCTTCAGACTAACAACGAGGCCTTACCTCGAGTCTGTTCTCACTGCTCTGCAGAGAAACCCACTCTCAGTGACCGGTCCAGAGTCAGATCCCGGTCTGACGATGACTCGGACTTCAAACGGACTCGCTCTTCATCACCGTTTCTCTCCTGAAGTCCCTGTGATGGAGGAGAACGTTGAACGTCAGGTATTTTCAGATGGTGACGCCCAGATGTTCGTCAGTGGTCGTGTTTCCAGGACAAACCTCGTCTCCGTCCACTCTGCTGATGTAGGTGGTATTTTCAGATGGTGACGCCCAGATGCTCGTGTTTCCAGGACAAACCTCGTCTCTGTCCACTCTGCTGATGTAGGAGAGGAAGGCTGCTGCCCTCTGGTGGGTGGTGTCACAGGTACAGACCGACACCGTCTTGTTGCGCTGCTCACAGCACAGACCGATCTTCTTCCTGCACAACAACAGAAAACATTCAAGAGTGTATTTGTCACATGGTCAGTGATACCCAAGTTACTGCAGTAAGTGTACCTCTGAGGTACTCCACGTACTCCAACAGTCTTAGTAAAAATGTCTCTTCATAGAAACTGTATTGACAAATGACCTTCTGACCTCTAATGTTATTTATTTCTGTCACCACAGCTGCTCACCTGCACTCACTGACTTCATCCTGGTACAGTCTGACAGACAGACATTGTTGCCTGGTGCTGCTCTCCGACCCTGAACCACAGCAGCAGGCAGTGGTCGGAGAGACGTGAAGTTTCCCGGTCGTCCTGTGGTCAGCTGGTTGGACCGCGTCTTGGATGAAAGCGTGACAATGTAAAACATGTACATGTGTTTGAAGTGTGTGGTACAAATATTCAGATGCACAGTTTTTCTTACCCTCCACATGTGCCTTCTCCTCTGGTGTTCTGTTGCCACTGGTACCACCTGGTTTTGTACCAACTTCATCCAGGTGAAATTTGGAAGAGATTAAGAACGGATTCAGGTCTGGATGAACCACAGAGGGATTATGTCCAGTTACCTGGAATCAACAGTGTCAGTGAACCAGGTGATTCCAATCCTTGGACCGACGGTCCTTCAGACATTTTCTTTGATGAACCCACCTGACCACACAGGTTAAATACATCAAACCTGTGTGGACTGGAAGCACCGACTGGACTCTCATCATGTGATCGAAGCCCACTCGTCACCTGGTTGTCCACACACATGGTGTTGAACTTCTTTTCTAAAGAAACTCTAACAGTTGGTCTTGATCTCCACTGTAAAGACGTTTTGGTCTTGGCTCTGGACGGTTTGGACTTTGGATTCTGTTCACTTGGGACTCTGGCCAGAACAGAGCCCGGAACCTCACCATAAGAACCCGGAGTCTTTTGTCTTGGCGTCAAAACCTCAGTTGAAGTTGACCAGTCAGCCGCAGGAGTGGGTGTGGTCGGAGAAGTCACACCTTTAGTAGCCAACCTGGTACGGTCTCTGTGACCCAGTGTTTCATCAGCAGAACCAGTGAGAGCCTCTGTCTGTCCGTTCTTGGACCCAGGGGAGGGCAACATGGAGATGGTTGCTGAAGAACAGACAAGACTGAGCTGGATGCTGTTGAGTCACCGTGGCAACTCCTGATGGGTCAAAAAAAAAAAAAGTCCAACAAGGAGACAATGAAGAATTCCTTTAGATTTTAAGGGATATGAAATCTGGCCGAGTTATATATTTATACATACATCTATATTTATACATACATCATAATTTGTTTTAATTATTTTTTTCTTTTTTACTAAAATCAAAACGAGTTTTTACCAGTATAAAGCTGACATGAAATACCAGAAAGGTCCGCTAGAGGGGGTTAAGTTGTTGCGGAATAACTTTCATACAGTACTGGACTGTGTTGTACGTACAGAACATGATATATTATACACGGATTTGTCAAAAATAGTTGTAATGTAAGCAGTTTTTTTATTTCTTTATAAATTATTTATTTCTATAAATTTAAAACCAGTATTTCAGCTACAAATTTAATGTGAAGTGGATATAAATGACACAAACAAAATCCAATCCGCCATTAAAAAACCTAGCATATTAGCAAGTCAATATGAACTAATCTGTTAAAGGCTGAATTGCTTCAAAAAAACGTACCAACACGCTCATTTCAGCTGAAATTAAGTAAAAATTAATTAATTGAATCAAGTATAATGATAAATATTTCTACATCGACTCGGTCTTGGGAAAACCAGATATTGATTCGTGAGCGAAGCGTGAACTCTTAAGCTAACAGGTTTAAATAAATACGGTGGATTAACGAAGGATAAAGATTCGTAATACGTAATAAATGTCTCTTACTCTAACTTTTTATTCTTTATTTTCCTTTTATTTACTCACCGTGACAGCGCGGGAGTCGTTCAGGACGTTGATAGCTCTCACGTCGCCATGAGCGTTAGCCGCGTGGACCGTTAAATCAATAAACTAATTTTAAGGAAGGAAAAACCGTTAAAAACCCCTTCAGTTGTGTTTACATTTACTCTACCACGCTTTTCAATTTTAACGTAATGTATTTAAAGCAGATGTACGGGGTGAAACGATCATTTAATATCAGACCGAAGGAGAAAAAAAAATGTCGGACGTCTAACCGTCGAGTAACGGCTGGTTAACCTACAACCGCGTCACAGTAACACAGGCTCAGATAAAAGATGATGATATCAGATATCCTATATCTGAGATGATGATAAAATGGCAACAGTTTTGCGACAACCCAGTAGTTTAGTACCTGTTGAAGAACATCTCTGCAGTAATAACAGGTTGTTGAGAAGGAAAATATGCTTTGTACGTGCTTTAAATTGTTGTAAAACCACTCCGCCCCCCTGCGCTCGGCTATGGTACCGCACTGGAGTTAACTGCTGATCTTGATTTCTCTGTCCGGCAGAGCATCCTGTCGCTGTGACGATCTCTCGTCTAAAATAATACATTTTTTAAAAAAGTAAAGAAGAAAATAGTGTTTCAGTCTGTTAAGACTTCTTTTTAAAGATTTCAAACATTTATAAACAGGGATTCAGAAGCCAAGTGAGGGCAGCGCTCATTCAAATACCTAACAAACAAACATAACACTCAGAAAATGTAAATATAAAAAACAGAATAAATGAGACGTCATCTATTGAAAAAAAAGTTGAGTCATTTTATTGACTTGAAAATGAATCCTCTATCAACAAAACAACATAAACATCATACCGAGGTTACGGTACCGTTGCTATGGTACAATAAAATAAAATAAAATAAAAATTCTAAATAAGTTGAATTTACAGGTGACTTAGTTGAAGAGGCACTAACTCCAAATCAAACGTGTGCTGACTAACCAATAAACCAGATGAACTTTGACCAATAACATCATCAAGATTCTATCAGCTCATTTTGTCTTATCATTTGTCAATGTATTTAAGCTAGACATTAACCACATTGTGATTAATACTGTAGTTTCTCCTGTTTCCTTTGGTGACGGTGTGACATTTGTTACCTTTAATTTAGCTAAACATTTGTTTAATATCGACTACTGGAGGTTCCAGTCACGTCTGCTCATCACCATTACCGTGATCAGTTTTATTTTTTTCCGAATCTGAAATTGCTTGGAATGACGTCTGTCTTTTACCAGCAGGACTCGTCTCCTGTTCTTTTCTTTCCTCTAGACTAAATGGTCTTTTCTGATTGGATGGTCTGTCCCTGCTCCATGTTCTATTTCCAGGTAAACACGTTTGTTGTTGTTTGGGACCAGGTTTGCCTATTGTACAGTTTTGTAAAGGCGTGACACCAGTTGGAGTCGGGAGTAAGGCAGTTCTTTGTCTCTGCGGATTTGATGGTTGGTTTTGTGTGTCTGACATTGTTTCTGGACCATATCTACCAGATCCAGTGTTTTTGTCCAACCTACCAGGCCCGTGTGTCATTTTCTGTCTGAACTCATCAAATCTTTGTCTGCCATCTCCCGGGTCTCTTGTATGTGGACCCTCACTGTCACATGCTCTCCTGTCTTGACATGGACCTACCCTGTGAGCCCCACGTCCTTTAAATTGACTCAACTGCCGACAATCGCTACCCATTTCTTCACCCTCTGTCTGATCGGGTCCCCAAAATCTACGGTTATGAGGTTCATGGGCTTGGTCTTCATAATGTGGACGCCTTGTCCCCCTAAAAAATGCACCTCTACCCCTTGGTCTTTCCTTGAAACCTCCTCTGTTTGACTCTCTCCATTCATTACTAGGTTCTTCCCTCGGCCCGTGCTCTGGATGAACATCTGAACCGTGTTGTAGAGGTCTTGGACCAGTTCTATTTTTGTCCTGTGTTAGCCCAGCAAATGGTGTTTTTTGGCCTTGCTCACTTAAACCTGCTACTTCAACAGTGTTGTCATATTTGTTCCAACGATATCTAGAATGTTTCATTATTAATCTTTCATTATTAAGTTCTGAGCTGGGTTTATTTAGGTCTGAACGCTTTTCAACTATCTCTGTGTTTTCCCATCCGTCCTCCTGCGACAGCTGGGTTGTATTCGATCCCCGTCTTTGGCTATTCCTCTTCATGGGCCTTCTACCCCTGAACAACATTTTTCTACCAGGTCCTACGTTGAAGTTTTCTTCAACAGCTTCTTGCCCTCTAAAACCAACCATACCCCAGTCATTTCTTCTATCATGTCTTTGACCTTCAGTTGGTGGACCAGAGTCTCTGAAATCAGGTCCAACTGCTATATCAGGTCTATGGCTTCTTACGTCCCTTATTTCTGTTTCAGGTCCCATAAAGCCTTGGTCGGCTGATTCACTTATACCATGCTGTAGGCTTCTAATGTTTGGACCTATTACATCTGAAATTGAAGGGTCATTTTCATAACCCGGCATAGGAGCTTTTTGAGGCCCCACTCTTCTTGTATGAGGAGCACTCCTTTCAAACATTGAGCCGTCGAAATCCAGAGGTTGCTTTTCTGGCCATGGGTCACTTGACTGTGGGCCCTCTGAAAACGATGGGCTATTTTCTGCATCCAGCATGTGTCCAGACCCTCGACCTCTGAAATGGGGTCTCGCCCTCCCACGAATGTGAGGGCCAGAGCGTCCTAATCCACAAGTATAACCTAGTCTTCTCCTCATGTTTCCTTCACCAGTAGTGAGAGGACTCCTCCTTTCTAACCTAGGTGCTCCTAACTCTAAACCTCCTGGTATTACATTTTCAGGGTTGTGTCCATGAAAACCTGGACCTTTGAGATCTTGTTTGTCAGGATCTTGGCTGTCTATACAAGGACTTCTTCTTGACTCTGTGAAATTGTGACCTCTCATTCCTCTTCTACTTGGACCATGGCAGACAGCTGCTCCTCTTAAATACTGATTTCCTGGTCCTCTTCTTTGTGGCCCAGGACCCTCCATGAACCGGTCCCTGCTTTCAGACCACGGCACCCTGACATCGTTACTGTTAGTCTCTGGATCATCCATAGCATGACCACATTTTTCAGGTCTTTGGCCTCTGTAATCTGAACCACTTGGTCCTTCCCTATTAGGGCCTCTCACTTCATGTCCTCCTTCAATAAATTCCTGACTTGTAGGTATCTGTCCACCAAAGCGTGGGCCTTGCATTACAGGAGCTCTCCCCTCAGATACTGGGCCTTGCCTCTCATATTCAAAACCTCTGAAATTTGTACCAGGTGGTTCTCTCCTGGTATTATCAGGATCTTCATGAGCATGATCAAACCATTCTGCTCCTGGACCTCTGTGATTTGGACCAGGTGGTCCTCTCCTGTTAATATTAGGACCATTATTTGCAGGATCGTTCCTTTCGTGACCAGGTCCTCTGTACTCTGCAATTTCAGGACCCTCCAGCAAATGACCTCTTTTGTTAGGTCCTACATCTCTGTAACCTGGTCCAGTGGGTCCTCTTCTTTCAGCATCAGGACTATCAACAGCAACTCTCCATTCTGCTCCCCGCCTTCTGAAATCATCTGAAAGTCTTCTGTGCATAGGTGGACCCCCCCTCTCAGGCCCGAAGGATCTAAAATCTGGACCAGGTGGTCCTCTTCTATAAGTGACAGGATTATCATTAACTGGACCTACCCACTTATGTCCTGAACCTCTCAAATCTTGGTGGTTTTGGTCTATTATGTCAGCCCCTGGGCCATCGATTGTTGGATCTCTTCTCTCATATCCAGACCTATTGAAAACTGGACCTCTTAGTCTTCTTCTGTTAGTACAAGGATCCTCATCAGAAGGACCTCTCCATTCTGAATCTGGACCTTCACTGTCTGTCATTTCAGTCTCAGAATTTTCCATTGGTGGCATTTGTGTCTCAGGCCCTGGTTCTGGGAAATCTAAACCTATGGGCCTTCGATAGTTAGCACCAGGACCTCTCATTTTAGGTTCTAGACCTCTGAAATCTGGACCATCTGGATCTCTCCTGCTAGACCCGGGAGCCACCATAGAAGGACATCCCCAAGGAGGTCCTGGTTTTCTGAAATGTCCCCCCCTGAATTTAGGCTCTCTCCCTTCAGGTCCTGGTCCTCTAAAATCCAGACCTTCAGAATCTCTTCTATCAATCCTCGGTTTTTTCATAGGTGGACAATGGCTCTCAGCTCTGTCTGGGTTACATGGTTCCATTTCCTCACTGTCAGGACCCACATTTGGCGGACCTTTCTCTCCTAACTCTCGAGCCCCAAGCTGCCTCTTGTAAGCCCCATGACCCTCCAAGGAAGAACCTGCTGGTTCTCTGAAACCCTCTTCAGATTGTCTCCTAAAAGTCCCAGGATTGCCTGAATAATGACGTTGCCTATCAGGTCCGGGTTTTCTAAAATCTTGACCTTGTGAACTTCTCTTGTCAGGACCAAAACCATCCAAAGGGCAATATTCACTATCAACCCGTGGTCCTCTGAAATCTGGACCTCCTGGTTGTCTTCTGGCATGACCTGGACCATCTAGGAAGGGACTTCTCCTTTCGGGTGTTGGGCCCCTAAAACATGGCCCTTCTGGACCTCTTCTGTTAAATCCTGAACCTTTTTCAGGTGGAACTGCACTTTCAAAATGTGGGCTCTTAATATCTAGTTCGTTGAACTGTGAACCTCCCCCCATAACACCCGCTCCATAGTGACCCATGTTTGGGCCTTCCCTTTCAGTTTCTGCTCCCTTTAAATTTGGGCGTCCTGATTCTTTAGTGACATGCATAGTTTCTTTTATGTTAGGTTCTCTCCTTTCAAAAGACATGAAATCAAAGGCCCCCGATCCTCTGTCAGTCTCTTGGGTATGACTTCTTAAACCTTTCTTAGCAGTCCCTCTCCAGTTGTCTTCTAAGACTGTTTCGGGGCCACTCCAAACTTGATCCCTCGTATGCAACTCATTCGTATTACTCTCTGTATGCAAACCCACCATTTTTTGATCATATGGACTCGGAGTTCCATAATGTTGGGTCACTGAGTTAGCATTTTGTTCATTTGGTTGAAATCCTTCCTTCTGAACCTTTCCTGACCCCCTGAAACGTTGACCCTTAGCTCTACTTCTTGGACTCTGGTCTGTTTCTACAACCAGTACGGTGGAACTTGTGCTATCAGTCTGTGGACTCCCACTTCTATCTATTAGGGTTTTATCTTCTCCTTTAACGTCCAAAGCCCGTACTCTCATCTCTGGCCTCCTTGGATGATCAACGGCTAATAAAGGGTCCATTGACTGCAGACTATTTGTGTCAAGTCCACATCTGTCTGTTGAAGTTCCCTCCAGATCTGAATTAGTACAAGATGATGTAAGCCTTTTACTGGGCAATACAGTCCCATCCTGTGTTCTAGAACCTTCTTTTTCTTGCACCATGTTATCTACTTGGGAACTCAGAATGTTCAGTCCATCACCCTTCAGTCTGGGGCTTGTGTCTGGTATACCAGGACTTGTTTCTTTAGGCTGCATCTGCTGGCCAAAATCACTAAGTTCTTTCACATCTGTTGCTGTGTTCTGCTTAAAGAACTCAGAGCACTCTCTCTTCAACTGTTCGTTAACGCTATTCAGATCTTTTTCATCATTATTGCATAATGGTGGTTGATTTTGACCAGAAATGGGAACAAAACTGTTTTCAACCTTGACATTTTGCAGAAACGGACTGGGATGCGTCTCACAATCATCAAATTCCTCAGTTTTACAGTCTACTTCTTCTGTGCCCGAAACTTTCAAGAATTGTGGTTCTGGGTCAGGGCTTTCAGGAGAATCTCGAAGTGGTGGGTCAATTTCTCTAAGAGGAATTGCACTGTCAAGTTTATCAATTAACATAATTTCCTGCCGTGTGGGGTTGTCTACCTGTGCCGAAAAACAACTGTCTGAATTCTTTAAAGAATCAAAATTCTGTTCAGAAACCTCAATTTTTACACTTTGAACTTCAGTTAAATTTGTAGAAATGTCTTTCTCCAAACTCTCAGAACTACTTTGTAGATGCCCATCAGGTTCAGGCTTAATAGCAGCTGAGGTGGATACAGATACATTAGTCAATACCATTTGTCCAACACTGTCTGGGACATTACCTGGGACAGGTTCATGTTCTGATCTTTCAGGAACTTCAGGAGAAACTTCTTGGTGCCGTTTGGGAGAATAAGACCTTGAATATCTTTTTGTAGGCGATGATGAAGATCTTTTGTGGCCATGAAGATGTCTGTGTGTACTTTGTGCCTTATGGTGACGGCCCTGGCGCTCGGATCGGTTTCGTGAGCTGTGTCTTGACCTTTCCTTATCATTTCTTTTATGTCTATCTCTTTCTCTATGTCTGTGGGGATGTGAAGGAGATCGGCGTCGTGACTTCTTCGATGGACTCCTGTGACTGTCCCTTTCACGATGACTGTGCCTCTTTGGCGATGATTTTCGTTTTCTGCTGCGGTTTGAATTTGGTGTGGCACTCTTGTGGCTAGAGTTTTGTCCGGTCGAATCGTGCGACTTTGAGCTGAGTCCTTGAAACACATCTTCTTGAATCAGGTTGAAAAGAGATTCATCCTCAGGGTCGTATGCTACGTCAGAATCTTCGATTTCTCCAGCTGAAGACTCCTTTCCATGGGCCTCGACATTTTCCTGAGTTTCAAGTGGTTTCTCGGTGGTATCTGTGACATCAGCAGTAGTATCCTCGACCTCGACAGTTTGTTTATTATCAGTTGTCTTTTCCTCAGTCTCTGTAAGATTACTAGAGTTTTCTGGGGATTCTGGAGTCCTGCTTTCAGTTTGCACCATTCCACTCGGTGATGGACTGACATACAAGGAGTTTGATGAAAGTTGAGCCATGAATATACCCACAGCTTCTCTCTGCTGCCGCAGTGCCTCTTCCTGTTCCTTCAACTGTCGTTTTTGCTCTTCAATTTGCTTATTGAGCTCGTCCAGCATGCGCTGTTGCTCAGACAGCGTCGCGGCTGAGACGACAACAGTACCTGAAGGTAGGTTTGGGAGGACTGCAGCTGCAGGGGCTGAGGTAGTGGGAACTGAATTAACAGAAGTGGTTGGTGTTGCAGCCTGGGTGGGAACTGGTGGTGTGCCTGGCGTAGAACCTGTTGGTGCAATGGTAGTCTTTGTTTCATGGGTATTACTTTGAATATCTTGGAAGATAGTTTCATCTTCTGGATCATAGGCTACATCGTCCTCCACACAGTCAGACAAAGACGGAATGACCGCCTTTGTGTTCTGTGTGACGTCTGTTTTGTATCCCATGGTGGGATTGTACTCCTCCTCTGGGTCGTAAGGACGCTCAAAATCATTTCTGTCTTTTTCAATGTTTTTCCCTTTAGATTTGTGCCCAAACTGTTGTACAATGGGGTCCACTTGAGAAAGCACGGGGGTGTTTTTGGCACTCGCTGTTGATGTTGAGCTTTCTTCACAAGTGACAGCAGAGTCAGTTGGCTTATTGTGAAATAAGGAGAGACTCCGTTGTGGAGTTTTATTACTAGATGCTGATGTTAGATTCTTGTCAGAATTGGTAGAAGAAGAGGCAACAACTGCAGCTCTGGAACAACCTTGAGGTGGCGCCACAGCAGATGATTCTGTTCCTGAGACTGAAGAGAATGAATGCGACGGTAGTGAACCAGAAGGGTTGGAACTAGAAGGAGTCCCTGAGTCACAGGGTTGGAATATCTCCAGTTTGTCTGAACCATATAGGACTGGAGGCTTTGGTATCCACATTGGGTCTTTTGGTCTCTTTTCTTTAAAATCCTGAGGCGCCGTTACTGATCGTTTCACCTTCTGGACAACTGCCAGACCCAGGAGAAGATTAGGTCGATTCTTTTCAAGTCCTGCAAAAAAAACAAACCACGTTTATCCCAAATAATTAAAATAAAAATAGTTTGTGATATCTTAAGGGATTTAGGTCTCGTACAGATGTCTAGTTCCTTTCCTCACTACCAAAGTGTTTCCTCGGTGTACAATCTCACTTGTTTTAATAATTGTAAAACACACAACTGGTATACCCACGTACCCGGCCCTTCAAAAGGCTGCAGTAGAGGTGGAATTGATTCCGTTGAACTCAGTGGTACGAGGTACACATCCTTGATGGAGTGGCTGGTGTGGGAAACTACACCGAAACGACCTCTGCTGCTGAAATAAGAGAACAGGGAAACATAGGCCACTTCTTCCTCCTCTGTTGCAGGGTGAAACCGGATGACACATAATTCCTATAAAAAAGAAAAACAAAATATGGTCAACATTACAACATAGTTCCAGAGTAGGTTATGAGAATAATACGCTGCTTGCCTTCGTGACAGATGTCTTTAGTTTTGCAACATACTCCCACACCGTGTGTGGCAGGATCCGCCCGCCAACCTGTAGCGTTTCAGGAAGGTCCTACATGAAGACAAAACACTGTGAAGTCCAGGGACCAGGACAGAGTCATTTCTTAACACATGGGGCAGAATTTGGATGCTGTAGTGCTGTATTGTACCCTTTTTATAAGTTCAGCAGATCCAGAAACCAGATATCCTTTTGTGACAAACCTAGCTACGTTAAGCATGTTAACAAAGCCTTTCCACAGTGTCTCCTGTTTGGACAGGAACTGTGCCGTGTCTGCTTCACCCTCAGAAGTCACGCTCCTGCAACACAAACCAAAAACAGTCACATCTCCACGTAACGTAAGTAGACAGGCCACAACACTGCAGTCTACGTTTCCTACAACAATCGTTCAAATACCTTGACGCCGCCCTGTACAGTCTTGGGTCTGATGAGGACGACGGCTTCATTAAGATGGATTTGGGTAAGGGTTTTGGGGGTAGTGGTGAGGGTTTTGATGCAAACACTGAGGAGGCGCTGTTGTCTTTGTGAGATGTATAAGAACCAGACTGGTTATGGGCTGTACCACTTGGGGCAGTAGAGCTGTTATCCAGAGTGAAGAACCTCGCTGCAGTGCGGGGGTCGCGCCTTGTGATGGTCACGGTGGAGACAGCTGGAATCACCACGGGTGTATACGGTCTGGACTGTGTCGTAGCCTTGGGAATGTCGGAAGTTGGGGAAGCGGGAGACTCCAAGACTGGAGAAGCAGGAGACTCTAAAATGGGGGAGGCTGGAGAATCTCTTAAGGGAGAGGAAGGGGATTCTACTATAGTCAATGCCGTTGGAGAATCACTGTCGGGTGAGTCGGGTGGGGCCAACAAAGGGGAGTCATCTCCCCTCCTATCATATTTTCTCCAAGAAGTTTCACGTTTTTCCGTTTCAGAAAACCTGGGTTTTTTGGTCACAGGTTCCACTGGTTCCTCGGCAAGAACTTGGCCTTTAGAACGAGAATACATTATTTAAAGAAAAATAACTTGGCCTTTAGAACGAGAATACATTCTTATTAAAATAAAATCTGAATTCTCTTTAAGAAAATATTTTTTGTCAAGTAATGAACAAAGTTATGACATTTTTTTTTTTTACCTGTGCATATTCTGCATTTCAGATCAAAGAGGTGAGTTTTGTGCTCTGACGTTGTGTCCTTGAGCATGCAGGTGAGAATGTCCGGCGCAGAAGACCCAAAGTTGGGCTGGTTGGTTCTGGTCTTCACAGCAGCAGCTGAAAAACTTTTCTTGGTTTCCAGTGAAGCCTGAGGTGGACACGCCGAACTCTCAGGTCTTTTACTGGGCCGTGGTCGCTCTGGTCTGGGATTCAAACTGGGCAGGTCCACCTTCACTGCCTCAGGCTTCTGCAGTGAACCTGTCGACTTAGTGAACGGATCCTTGACCTGAACACAAGCAGCAGCAGCAGAAGATAACCCACGGTGACATCAGTTCTGTTTCACACGTCTGAGACAAATGTATTTGTCGTTTATATTTATTACCTCGGGTGTTTCTTTGGGACTGGGTTCTGGTGCTGTGGTCGCCTGCATGTCCTTCTGGCTCATCCTGACCAGTCTGAAGGGACCGATCTCCCCATGTACAACCCGATACAGCAAGCCCTAGAGGAGATCACGTAACATGACAGTTTGTTTAAGGGAAGAGACATAAGTTAAACCATCCATCAATCTGACCAGGCTTCAAACCGACCTTATTTTTGGGGTCTTTCAGGTTGAACATTATAGTCCTGTACTTGTTCATGTATTTACTGTCCGTGGTGCGAAACACGTCAAACATCTCCATCTCAATGTTGGCCACAAGCTTCGCTGCGTCACTCTCGGACATTTCCAGATCTTCACTTTCAGAAACCCTAACAAAAGAAAAGGTCAATGGGTCAACACAATTGTTGGACATCATCAGGTCTGCTGTTCCACCTTGATCATCAGGTCAGTTGTTCCACCTTAGAATGAAATGTGGACTGTGGAAACACTCAGGTGATAAAGAGGTTATAAAAATGACTGGTTATAAATAATGTATGAATAACATACGTATACACTCAACCCCTGGGCTGTGTACTGGTTTAGGGTGGCACAAAAACAATGTATTTTATTTTATAAATGAAATGATGTGAAAAATTGTTTATTTTGAAAAGTTCAGATGAAGTTCTGATCCTGGATAATAAACACTGAGGAGATAATGTTAGCTTCACAGCGCGTCCTTGTTTTAGCTGTTAATTAATGCTAATGCTAGAACATTTGAAACAGCTCAGTTTGATCGACGAGTCATGACTGAGTCGTAGATCACTGAATTCACAGCAGCTGGTGGACCGGTCCTCACCTTTTGGAGAGGATGGAGACGAGCGACCGCTGGATGCTCTGTCTGATCTGGTTGTTGGGCTGCGAGGGTCTGGACGAGGGGGCACTGGGGGCAGGAGGCACCAGCAGGTTACGGGTTTCAGTCAGCAGTGCTGGGCCTGAGGATGACGCAGCCGGGGGCTGCAGCCCCGTCTGCTTCTTAGGAATGACGTACGAGGTTTTAGTGACCACCAGGGCTCCTGTATCGTGGAGCCTGGCCACTGAGGCGGAGGCTGACGGAGAAGGTGAGGAGGTCCCAGGTTGTTCTGGAGCGGTGGACACCGCGGCGGGTTGTGACTCAGTCGGTTGTTGTTTCCCGGACAAAGCTGCGTTTACAGCCGCATCTTGTTTTTCTCGGGGGTCTCTGGGGGGCGTGGCCACCTCAGCGACAGAATGAAGATCTGGAGCTGCATTTGTAGAGTTGTCTCCCAAAGACTGGGTCGGTGGTGCGGTCACAGTGGCGCCCTCTGGCTGTTTAGTGTCACTTTTAGCTGCTGGAAGAAGAACAGTGTGAAATTAATTCAATATTAAATTAATATTTCATTAAATATTTCTTTCATGTTAGACTGTGAAGAGAACCTTAATGACCTGTCAACATCTGAATAAATATCTCACTGTATTTTTGTTTATGTGTATAAATTGACAAAAGTTAACACTGACAAAAGTTAACAGAAACTGTGATTTTGAAGTCCAAATTCTCAGCACTTTTTTCCTGAACCTTCTTTAAGGGAAAGATGGGACGAGCTTTTAGTTCTTCATTCTGTTTTCTGAGAACTCAGAGAGGGAGCAATAAGGATACATTTCTATATGAAAACAAATTATACCGGGAAAGGGGGGGTAGGTGGTAGTGATACTAGAACATCAAACAAATCTGGTACTTTTTAACATCTTTTCGTCTTCATTCCGTTAACTTGTTCTGCACAGTTTAAGTGACCGTTTGTTTACAGGAAAGTAGGTTTGAAACTCTGTATATTTTCTCAATTAAAATGCACCACAGCTATAAAAGCTCTGCTCACTTTCTGTTCAGTTCGTGTTAATGATGCAGAGGTTATGTATTTTGTATTTTAAATTTGTTTTTGTTCATATTTCGTCTTGTGTTGTTAAATACAAACACTCTGTTTCCTGTTGGACGTTCAACCAGAAACATCCCATCCCAATGTTATATTCACGTTTGTCGGTGCGTCTTCGTACATTATAATTGTGGAAAGCTAGTTTAGCTATCTGGGGTTTTGTCTTGTGACCTTGGCCTTGTCAAAACCAGGGTGAGGTCATTGTGTGAACAGACAGATTATACAGATCCACAGTGTTGACGCGGTGTGCCTTTTTTTCGAGCCTCATCTGTTCACACAGTGAACAGCATCCATCCATGACCTCATCATCCACGGTAAAAGAATCCTCTATACTGCAGGTGACCCTTTCACACAAATTCATTCTTTTTTTTTAAACCTTCAATAACATCAAGTGGTTATCAGCTGTGGTTCATCAGGTTTATTAACTCATTAAATCTCCAAGCTCTTCAGAGAACCTACTATAGTCTCAGGTATTCAAACATGGAAGTATTTTGTATTTTTGAGCTGATGTAATTTTTTTTATTACAGTCCTGTATTGACTCAAATTCTTTTTATGGAATGGGTCTCACAAGAAACATCAGTTTCCCCAGGTCTGTGTCAGTTGTCAGGTGTCTTTTGTCCGACAACTGCCTTCTGTAACGTTGTGGCTAAAGGTGTATTAAAAAAAAGTCAACAAAAATTCACACTCTGGTTTTTGTCTCGATAAAATGGAACATGTTTATGATTCAGTTGGTCCAGTGATCATTGTTGTGTGACTTTCACTTTTTAAAGCGGAGAGATCTGGACTGCAGGCAGGTCAACAAATCAGACTCCCGTCTACATCCACGTCAGGTCTCATTCTTCATTTGTAAAGAAACGAAAGATGTCATGTTGGTCTCATTCTTCATTTGTAAAGAAACGTTGTTGCTGAAAAACCGCGCAGTTCCAGGAAAGATGTCATGTCGACACTAGCTTGCGTCTAAGCTAGTGCCACATCAGTGTTAATTGTGAGAGAACGTCACCAAAGCATCACAGAAAGATAGCATCCTGCTGAGCCGCGCAAGACTTGAAGTCGTCGTTGAAGTTTAAAAATAATTTCACAGCCACCACGGACCTTTTTCAACTGCGAGATTTGGAGGTGATAAAGCAGAGAATCAGACGGTGAATCAGATGAACAAGCATCTGCACATAAACATTTATCGGGAGATAAACCCGAAAAAGGATCACAAGTATGGGTGGAGTGGACGGAGGAGCTGAAACCTCAGAAGTAAAGGTGGACAGAATCGTTTTCAGACAGGAATTTGTTTCATTAAAATATAATTCTGTTTGGAATTTGAGTTAGAAAAATCCCCGGGACGTTTCATTCTTTCAGTATCCAGGTACATTTTGTACTAGACAAAATAATTTGGTACAGTAATAAATGAGAACCATCATGTATTGTATTTGTGAACATTTCAGATTGGACCAACTGCGTGTTCAATTTGTGATGCTGACCCCGCGTGTGCTGTACCCCCAACCCTGAGGTTGGGGGTACATGTCTAGGTAACATCCACGACTTCCCAGCAGAGGCTTGCGTTCACTCAGCTACTGCCAGCTTAGCTTCTGCGACCCAAAAGCACTAGGCTGTGCATGGGAAGTGAAAGAAAACGTGATCCATCAGACCAGGCAACCCTGCTTACATTGTTCATCCAACCCTGATGCCCACATGCCCCTCTGTCAGTGCTGGACTGGGGGTCTGTGCCTTTGCAGCCCATTCTATCAGAACCAGATCCATGAACCTATCAAGAGTCACTGTTTGTTCTTCCTTGACAACTGTTGTTGGTGTACGTGTGTGTCCATTGGTGTGTGTGTACATGGATAGAATAGCTATAAATTACTGCATAATTGGATTTCTTTTTTTTTTCCTTCTTTAGTCACATGTAATTTGCATCAACCAAGGTCAGAGGTCATGGAACGCTACGTCAACATTAATCACCACTGCAGCCAATGGAAAAATAAATCACATTAACTGTTAATTGTTACTCCCTCATCACTATTGGTTTCCATGGTTTCCACTGAATTAAATAAAAAAATGGAGAAAAGGTCAGAAAACAGAGAGGCTGTTTCATGAGGCGAAATATTTCATCATCATCTGTTTGAACTGATACAGTCACAATGTTTCATTGAAAAAGCGTTTCCCCGTCTAACCAGTAGAGGGTGCTCATGTATCACATTTAAATGCCTCCACTCAGCATGTGTCGAGATCGACAGTATGATTCCATTAACTCAACTGGAATTCCACATCCTTCATCATTCTATAGGTGAAATAATGATAACATCTAATGTCAGAGGCCCCAAAGCAGCACAGACAGAATAGGAGTGAAATACACTGTCAGCTGTGGGACTGCGGGACAGTCAATATCTACGACAGTTAGCAGACTATGTCCCTGCCGTTGACTCTGCAAACATGTGAGGCATCAGTGTAATTATGTCATGTACCACAGAGGGAAGGAAGAAGAATTCTACCAATAATGGTATAAAAACAAAACAAAAAAAGGCCATTTGTCATATTTTCAGTAAATCTAAGTTTGTGCTCAGTTCTACACTGGATTATCTTCCTGACGTGATTCTCTCTGTCAGACGAATAAATCAAACAACTGGTGACTGTGTACCTTAGTGGATACAATGTATAAATATGTATTTATACAGATATTTCCTGATAATCACAACATGTCAAGTCATGCCAATACTTTTAATACTGTAATTTAAAGCTTCCAACTTTTGAAGGATATAGAACTGGACAGAAACTTTATGTTATCTTAACTTTATATCATGTCCAATGAAAACCTATCTGTTCTTTTCATTTGAAGAAGAGGAAGAAACATCTGAAGATTACTACTCCTCAGCCTTGAAGCTTAACATGACCATGTGGCTGTAGACGATCTAAATAAAACTATGAAATTAGGATCACCTGAAACGATAGTATTCAGAGTACAAAGATTATTTGTATGAAGTTGTGCACCAAGGCGTTCATCACAAGACCTGCGTTCATCACAAACCCGACCCTGAGGTCAGCTGGTCAGTGGATGTCCGTTTGGTTGAAGAGTGTGTTACTTTAACAGTCTGTGTTTTATACATGTGCCGGGAGTCAAGAGCTCCTGGAGGTCTGTCTGAAGTCAGTGTGGTGTTGGTGCGGCTGTGGTTCTGGACAGGTTTCAGAGAGAGAATGGACTTTAACTTTTCCAGTTTCCTGTCCTAGAACCAGTCGACTCCAACTTCACCTCCTTTGCTGTGAGGGGTTTGAAGGGTGGTGAAGCAGTTTGTTACCCAGAGGAGGGGGGTTAGGGGGTGAGACATGCCCTACAACAGAGACTTCATCCCTGAACGCTCCTAAACCCAGAGGAGTTTGGACGCGTCCACTCCAGGCTTAGATAGAAATCTGGCAGAGCAGATGTTCACCACGCGTTCTCCTGCCAGAAACCAAACACATCTGTGCGACGTTGGAGCGAGTTCCAAAGCATACAGCAAAAAAATGTTGGTGCCATCTGACGGCGTGCCAATGAGCATTACGGGACTTAGAAAAAAAATAGTTTGTTTGCTTTAAAAGTACAAAAACAAAATTGTTGAGGATATCACTATGATGAGAACAAAATACTGAGGGTCACCAACAGGTCATCTGTTCCAGGGTAATGACCTGAGTATTACCTGGGCCAAGAGTAGGAGTACTTCAATCACATGTGAAGAACTACAGGTTCATTCTCAACCACTTTGAACTATGAACGTTAAGACAGAAGAGGTGAAGGTCTGACTTGTTCAGGGGTGAACTGTAGTAGAAGTAGAGCGACTCGCAAAAAAACTTTCGCACCATGTATATATACTCAAAATCATGATTTCTGTTAGTGTGAGGGTTTGTGCTCCTGTGGTGAAGTTGATGCAGTGTTGGGGGTAGACATGATTAGAAAAGAAGTTTAACAAAAATCTCTTTCTGAGGTGAATCTATTTTCATTAATCTCATTTTTATTTTTGGTGGAAAATTCTAAACCTATTTCAGTATCTGCTCTTGTCAACGCGGTGGTGTCAGGGTGAAGGTGTGTCGTTCAAGGGCCAAAGTTTCATTCGATGTTGTTCATAGTCACAGACAGTGCGGCCGTGTTTGTTGTGTTGTGTATATGTGAGGATATATTGGCATGTGTTGATGTAAACTTCCTGGAGATCGGCTCGTTTTCACATCTTTTGATCAGTGTAAAAAACAATCCCCAACAATTCTTCATCTCAGTGCGGCTGCTGCGGTTTCTTCATCTGTGACAGGGACCACTTTCTTTTCTCAGGGGGAAAAAATACTTTAGTGACGGAGGCTGTCACACAAACGCCATCCTCTGGACGTGAGGCCGACTCCTGCTGTCGGGTCAGAGGTGCTGCAGCAGCAACAACAGGTCAACGGGTCCAGAAGTCTGGTCCCAAGTTCAGGATCTTCACTACTGGGATTATGGTCTGCATGCTCCAGAGTGTGTGTTGATGTGTGTGTGTGTGTGTGGGGGGGGTGTTCAAGACTGACATGACAGCGTGTAAAGAACTGTAGAGTTGAAATATTGGAACTTTAGGGAAGAAGATTTTAACCAAAACTCCTTTGTGAAGCACAGAAGAGAGTGAAGAAGAGCAGACGCAGTGATAGTGGAGTAAGTCAATACAAATAAATAAATAAATAAATGAATAAATATATAAATAAATAAATACTATTCAATCTAAGGAGGCCACTTTTTCATGTTACTGAAGGAACACGTGGACGTTTGTTCACTTTGGACACATTAACTCAACACAACTCTCCTACTCTCTGTTCTGTTTTTCAGCCATGCCTTGCACTGGTGGGTGGGTCTTACTGGTGGGTGGGTCTTACTGGTGGTCTTACAGCAGGTGAGAGTCCAACACACAGTGTGTTTGTCTGAAACAGTGCTATATGCAGGAGCACAGCCCTATATTTAACCCACCCTGGTAAGACTTGACACTCTCTAGATCTCTCAGGACAGAGGTGATCGTTTTAAGTTTCACCTCAACGGCATAAATACGATACGGTATATAAACTGAAGATGGACTGAAATTCAAATTGTTGGCCGAAACTGAAAATGAGTTTGTCATAAAGTGGTGTTGAAACCTAAGCAGGTTATCTACGTTTATATCTGTTCTTCATTTCTTCCTGTTTCTGTTTGGATCAATACATCATGACAATAACAGACGTTTTATCAAGACTTCCCAAGGAAGGATTGGTACCACAGTAGTGCCATCTATCTATCACCTATGATAGCGGATCGGTTTTGTAGCGTCATCATTGTCTAAAGGATTTAGGGCCACTGTGTAAAACCAATCGATCAAACTGCAACATCTAGAACTCTTCCCAGAACAATGGACGTTTTCTACGGGCTTCAGGAAACTACGGTGTTTCTGGTCGGTATGTGGTAGAAAAGGTAGAAAAGGTCCTGTAGTTTGTGTATTTGTAGTTTCTATCAGAGTTTCTGTTGGGGTTTCACAGCCGTCTCCTCTTCAGCACTTAGAGAACTGAACTGTGTCGGTGTGTTCTCGTGTCAAATGACTGTTGATTCTGATACTTTAGATTACACACACACTGGGAGTTGTGTGTATTTTTATAACTGTACACAAACAATACATACAGTAGTGGATCTTTGATGAGTGAGTGATTGGTCTGAAGGTCTATTATACTATATGTATGTACTGTATCTGCGTGTACCAAGACACAACCCTCTCAATGAAAGAGGAGCAAATATTTCAACCATGAACCACCACCGCACCAGAGGTAACGACGTGTCATATTAACCTCCATGGTGAAAAACAAATGGAGAAAGTGGAAAAAAAACGTTCAAAAAGCTACATGTGCGATTCAATTTTTGAGACGTAACCACGACCCCAGACTTTGAAACCATAGCCAGTTCAAATTCTCAGCATGGATTAAAGTTTGAAGTATTTGTGGAGAAAGAGACCAGTTTTTAGTAGTTTTTTGAAGTATGAAGATACTGTGAGTACTTTGAAGCCGGTTTAAACATGAACACCTCCCGTCAGAGGAGATCGTGAACACGCACAGATAATCTGTTGCCTTGTACCGTGCTCAGTAGCCAATGAACTCCTGATCAGTATTTTGAAAACACACACAGGTCACAGAGAACTATAAAAGTTGAGATACTTACCCAGTGCTGACCCCTGCTGCCTGTCAGTCATCTCAGTGACAGAACTGGCATCAGTGTGTGCATGCTTGTGTACAACTATACCACGGAGAGATTTGTGTTTGAACGAGTGGTGAATGGTACATACACACTGTGCAAAACTGGGGTGATGGTATGGAAGTGGTCTGAACGTCTGAGAGACTGGGGTCGCAGACTGGGACGGTGGCAGCCTCCTGTGTGTCTCCAACATCTTTCTGTTTGTCTCCGCCCTCTTCACCACTTTCCTTTGCCTTTTCTGCTAACCTTTTAGACACCCTGAGTGACCTCTGATCCTGCCATGCAAATACACAGGCATCAAAATTAGACACTTGGAGTCTTGAGTCGGCTCATACAGAGTAGGTTCACATCTAGTCCGTGAAATAATTATGGGATGTACAATATGTAGCATTTCAACCCACAAAGAAAACTATCATAATTACTACAATAATTACTACAATTATAATGATACAATAACAGATACATTTTTATTGGGAATAGAAAAAGTTCAGTTGAAGTCGGCGTCTGATTACGAGATTTTTTACACTAGGAGTGTATATCGCAATACATTGTAGCGCCGCCCCTGTATCGTGATACGTATCATTTACCAGATTCTTGCCAATACACAGCCCTACTCAACACCCAGAGATTTAATTT